ATGGGATCTACCCTTTTCAGGCCTCTGTAAGCATGTGGGACCCAGACATATACACAGGTGAAACACCCATATACATAAAATAAGTTAAAAAACTAGAGGACATAAAGAAATGCAAGTTATGTACAAATAAGATGGGCAATTTGAGAAAAGATATGGGAGTATTTAAAGAAAAAAATAGGAATCTATATAGTCACCAGTTTAGTAGTAAATTGGAAAAAAAAACCAGAAAGGTAAAACTTGAAAACAGATAAAGAAATAGATAAATAGGAAAACAAAATGAAATAAAAGAAGGAAAAAGACAAAACAGAGTATTTGAGATTCATGAAATGGTACCATACATTCCAAACTTTTTATCATCAAAGCAGTAGGAGGAGAGGACAGAGAAAACAGGCAGATAAAGTATTCAAAGAGATAATAAAATAGAATTTTCTAAAATGAATAGTATGTTATCAACTCACAGTTCTAAGAGCTGCACCCGGTATCAATCAGAAGACTGCAGAGAGAACTATGTCATAGCTAGAATTCTAAACCGATTGTAAAGAGATCTTTAGAGCATGACTTGAACCTCTTTATGTAGACCAGGCTGGCAATGAACTCAGAGACTGGCTTCCTCTGCCTCCCAAGAGCTGGGATTAAAGCAGCCTCCCTAATGCTGTGATGATTCCCCTACCATAAAATTATATTCATTGCTACTTTGTAACTTTAACTTTGTTACTGTTATGAATCATGTGTAGGATTTCTGATATGTGACCCCTGTGAAAAGGTTATTTGATCCCAAAGGGGTCTGGACCCATAAGCTGAGAAGCGCTGAATAAAGGCTTGCACCACCACACCAGGACACAGTTACCTTATTTGAAGATAGATTGATGGGGAAGCCTTGGTAACCAATTATCTTTAAGAGGTGGGACCAAGTTAGGGTGTGGCTTTCTGGGACCCAGAGGAAAATGAGGGGCACGGCCCAGGTCCAGGTGCTCTCTCTCATTGTGTGGTTCCCTCGCTGCACAGCTGAGCTTGGTCTTCTTGTTCCGGTTTTGTGAGTTTTCCCATTGTAATAAATAAAAATAAAATTGTTTATCTTTAAGCTAGCCTGGTTATTTCCCAAATGGAGTTAGCTTCTACAATAGATAGTAATAGATGAAGATGTAAACTGCGGGCTGGTGAGATGGCTCAGCAGGTAGAGGCACTTACCATGAACATCTGGAGACCTGGGCTTGATGCTGGGACCTAAACAAAGGTAGAAGGAGAGAACTGATTCTACAGAGTTGTTCTCTGACCTCCCTATAGGTACCACATCATGTGTGTGACCACATTCACGCAACACACATAGTAATAAATAAAAAGTTTAAAAAGATACAAATTGAGATTTCTAGAGCAACTATTCCATTTAACATAGAAAAACTTTAGGAAGATCAATCTAGAAGATAATCTATAGAGAGAATGGATATACAAATATGTCCAGTGTAGCCAAAGGAAGCCAACAGGAACCAGGGACATGAACCCCATGACACACGGAATGGATGGAAGAGGTGAGTTTCTCACGTGTGCTATTCCTGATCAATGAATGGCTTTGGAAGTTTGCTTCTGCTACAGACCTGATAATGACTTGTCATGAGTTCAACCTAAAACCGCAAGGAAAAAGAGCTTATAAGCAAAGTACACTGCAGTCAAATCATGTTGACACAACTAGCATCGAATCCACCACACACAACCATGAGCTGTCAACCCCCATGCTGTCAACAGCTAAAACCAGAGGCAAGGTCTCCATTCCAGCATGAGTGCATTTTTCTGAACTCAAACTACCGGTCCAAGAGGGATTTTTGACAAATGTCGATGGAAGTTCAAAGGATATTTCCATATTTTAAAAATCCATTTGACTGCCACTGAGGAGTGTCCAGCAAATATCAACTGAATGCGGCTCATTTGCACGCTCAAGGGGAGCTGTTGTGAGAGTTTGTAAAGTTCTAATACAATTTTCAAGATGTCTTCGGGCAACTGAAAGTCAAGTACAATCATACACTCGTGGACTCCCATGGACATGTGGTGACACCTGTCTGGGTGAAGAGACACTTCAAAATTAATACTGCCTATGGAAAGGCAGTATTTAAAAAGGCAAGCAAGAAGTTATTCCATCCCTCTAGAGTGAAGACAGGAGGCTTAGGAGTTCAAGGTCATTCTCTGTGGTGTAGCTTAGAGGCCAACCTGGGCTACAAGAACAATCCTTACTTTGAACCACAGGTCAGTAAAAGTTATTCCCTGCAACGGAACTGTATTCCTTTCATTAATAGACCTGGACTGAAAATTCTGTTTAAAAGCATATGGACACAGCCCTCTTAGGATGTAGGTATTTACACCAAGTCTTAAGTTTTGCCTCTCGGCCCACAAAGCTTAAAGTATTTCCTAAAAGGCCTTTTGCAGAGTCTGTCAAGAGCAGGCTAAGTGCAGCTTTCTCTGTCGCTGCTACCGCATGCTTTGCTTTGCTGCCCCAGACATTCTATCTCAAACTGCCACCTCTGAATCACCAGGAGAAAGCCAAGACATGTCAGGAATGGAAGCTGGAAGCTAATTCAGTGCGAGGTTAAGCAATTATCACAGCTCACACCACCTAGCACATGGATATGGCATGTTTTGTTAAGGAACCTCTTTGTAGAGAAGTCCCCCATGCCCACAGGCTGGTTTTTCCCAGTTCCAGTTACCCACAGTCAGCCACCGACGTGGAAATTTCCAGTCACAGTAGTAGGCTTTATTATCTTCTATTACAGAACATACTTGCTCTGATTTATTATTAATTATGGTTCATCCCTTACCGTGCCCGATTTATTAATGAAACTTCAGTGTATATATGTATAAGATTTTATAGATAAGACAACATATAAATGAATGTGTGTGTGTGTGTGTGTGTGTGTGTGTAGTGTTGGCTTTAAGGACACACTGGGTTGGTTGGTATACATCCTCCATGGATGACGGAAAGACTACTGTACATATCCTCTTATATTTATGAAAATCTTATTAATTAGATGCTACCCCTTCCTATCTCAGAGAAGCTGAGAAGTAATCAGAGATCCTATTGACAGATAAGGGATGTAAGAGTGCACAAGACTTTAACTCAAAAAGCCCATCAGATCTAGTGTCTGCAAGCTTCAGTTTGGAGAAGCAAAGGAAAAACAACTGTTTAGCTTGGGAGGAGAGCTAGCTTAGAACGCACCCATGAGGCCCGGGTTCAATCTCCAGGACTATAAACAAACCAGCAAATAATGGAGGTTTAAGCACCCCTTTCCTCACAGAAAGAACATAACAACCCAGGCTTGTCATTCCAGACTTGGAAGGCCGAGACAGAGTGAAAAGTTGGGGAAAATTCTCTGCTTCAAGTCAAGGCCAACCTGGACTAAAGCCTCAAGAAATTTTACAAATTGACTGGGTGGGGTGGTGCACGCCTTTAATCCCATTACTGGGGGGGAGGCATGAGGATTTGATTTCAAGGCCAGTCTCATCTATATTATAAGACCCTGTCTCAAAACAAATTCAACAAAAAACCTAATATAAAACCAACAGCAAAAAGCTACAAAAAACAAAACAAAACACAGGAGTAAAGGTATTTGTGAGGGGTAAGAATGGGTAAAAGCAGATGTGTTGGGAGCTATTGTACATAAGGATAAGTTCTCTTGGGGAAGATGACTACTAGGTGACAAAACAGGTTGTAGTGCTTGGAGGATCCAAAAAAAAATTTCCCATTTTATCAGCCTTTCCACCCCCACCCTTTTAACAATGTCAGAGTATTTTGATGAATGCATAAACGAAAGTATTGTTTGTGAAAGTCTGAGGACATTTTACGATGCTGAAAAGTGTGCAAGAAAAAAATATCAGAGGCAGAATGGCTTACAAATTCCAGACCAGCCTGAGTGAATTCCAGGCCAACCAGGGCTACACTGGAAGACCTTTGCTTCAAAACAACCCGCTTCCCCCCTCCCCCCGCAAAGAAACCAGTGGGAATAGAGGGGAGAGTCTGGAAAATCAGAATGGTACTCAGCAGGGAACATGAACATAATGCGTTTATACACACATACATTTATGTTTATTTTGCCGTCAAAAGACAAAATGGTAGTGCATTTATAGTACTACATCATGTGTCCACACATTAAACCCTGTATGTACTAGCGGGGTTAGAATTTATACACCATCTTCTGCAGTGGGCATTTTAAGAGATTATAAATAGCAATAAAAACAGAGCGGTCGTAACGCTTGTGCTCAAGGCTAGCGCCTCAGCCCCAGGATTCTTGCTGCCCCTCCTCTGCAGGACCCCGGGCCGTCCCCTCCGCCAATGACCGAGCCGGAGCAGCGGCCCAGGGGAGGGCTAAGGTCTGCAGGAACGCGCCCTGTCAACTTTGTAGTCCAGTCACCTCCGTCGGTTGGTAGCGGCCGCTGTGGCTTTAAATGGCCGGGGGATTTCGAATCGGGGAAGGCGGGAGGTCAGGCCGAGGGGCGCCCCCCGTCGCGGGGAGCCCCCGCCCGCCGCGTCCCCGGCCCCAAAAACCCACACCGGCCGAAACCAAACCACCGACGTCACACGAACACAAAGTACTGGACTACAAAGTTGACA